AGCAGTTTCCATTGGGAGTGGGCAGTTGATGGACCAAAGCGATGAATTGAAAGCGATTGATCGAATCAAGATCGCAACCACGAGCCAGTCGCTCAATGAATTGGAGAGCTTTGTCCGTGATGTTCTTCCTTTGCCACTGGAGTATCATGGTCCCTTCTCCATGGCGACTGTGCCTGAATCTAGACCTTGTTCTTTCTTCCGGTCCATTTGTTCTAATTCATTGAAATTGAAGTTCATGTGAAATGGAGGCGCCGAAAGAAAATAATGATCTATCTGATCATGTAATGCCTCTTTATGTATTAATATATACATATGTTTAATATTTGTTCTTATGTTCTTTCTTCAAGATAATCACACAAGGTGAAGCAGACTTTGGCTGTGGATCGCGAGCTTAATGCTGATTGGTCGTTGGCACAAATTCTGCAGAAGATTTTCCTAGGCTTGTCTGATGCACTTCCACAAGCATGGGTGAATTTCGCTGCTGATGTGAGTGACGTGTGGGCATTGCGAATTGGGTTTGTTGGAGAATCTGCTCGGTTCTTCTTGGAGAGGAAGGACGCATTGGAGAGATTTCTCAACATCCGCCCATTGTATGCACTGACCTTGCTGCGAGATTTGATGAAACTCAAGAAGACCCGCCTTGACTCCAGTGTCAACTTCCTCGTCACAGCCTTACAGGTAGATGTTACCAACTCTCAGAAGCTGTCTTTGGCAAGGTTTGAAGCAGAACGGGCAAAGGCAGAGGGTGGCGGTGCTCAGCCTGAGGCTGCTAGTGAAGCGGTGGGTGTTGCTGCGAAACCGCACCCTGTGGTTGCCTTGATCCCGGGCTTTGACGTTTTGCAAAGCACCTTGTCTGAATCGATTCTATGTTCTAACAATTTGAGAACGTGAACATGAACATGGCCCATGGGCCCATGGGCCCCTTTTTCTCAAACAGTGTGTGTTTTGCTTAGATCTATGAGATTGAACGGGCGAACTGGCTTGCATAAGTCTGTTCAGAGGGCTGGTATACGGTATATTCAGTCTCACCGTTATCAAGTTTCTGGCCAGTTCCTAGGTCCAGACTCTTGGGCAACAAACTGGGCCAACCTTCTGAGCAGCAAAACGCAAGAGGCAGCCTACAGCTACTTGAAGACTTTCGTTGGCCCCGAGAAGGCTGGCTTCACGTCAGAGATGGAAATGGCGGCAATGGCGGGGCGAGTGGAGAAGCGGGATCGCAAAGAGGGAGATGAAGCAGAAGAAGAAGGAGAAGAAGGTCCTGACGCTGTTGTGGAAATCCCAGCACGCGAGACTTTGCGAACGGTGTCTTTCTGTGGAATGGGCATGATCGAAGCATCAGAAGACTATCGCTCACTTTTCGGTCAGTCCAAGGAGCAGGTATCTTCTCTTGACCTCAAACTCTTGGAGATGCGCCTGGAGTTGTTCCTTTGGGACAGGGTTTGGGGGTTGGGGTTGGGGCTCAATTTGCTCAGCCATTCAATTGCCTTTCCACGATTCCAATGGTCTCTGTGTCCATTAAATTCTGACATGTGACATTGTGTTATCTCGTGAGTCATATTGGCTATCTAATTGCTGTCACCGTCACCGTAACATGGACCAGGATCACTACAAGACTCAAATCGAGGAAGCAGAGAAGTATGTGATATGGAATTTTGGTGACGCAGAGGAAGAGGCGGCCGCCATTGCGACAGGTTCGAAGACCAAAGTCACCAAAATCGCAAAGAAGCTTGATGGGCAGCGGCTTCTCTACCACAAGTTGAAGGAGCTGGTTGGCGTGATTGAAGGGAATGGTCCAGACTTTATTGCCTTTCCTTTCCTGGGCCATGTTTCTTCAGTAGCAACTACAAATTCGCTTTGCTTGGGATCGATCTTAGGGGTGAAGTTCCACATTCACCCTGCAGCAAATCCAAGTCCAAGCAATCCATTGGTCCTTGCAGCCTGGCTTCCTGGGACTACGAACAAGCCCACTGAGGCTTCAGTGGACATTACTCCTGTGAAGATTTCACTTGTTACTCTGCTGATTGTTTGGTCACTGGATTTTACTGGAATGGTTACATTACTAACTGTGTCCAATGTACAAATACAGTTATATATTATATATATACGTGGCACCACTTACGTGACGTCGTGATTGTACACTTTTTGTGAACTATGGACTCTGGACTTTCTAATGGTTCACGAATCGCAAACGAATGATTATTTGATTGCTTTGCTCATCAGTCTATCCCGAGATACCCATCTTCAATTGAACCAAACCGTGCGACTGTGCGATTATCATGTTTCAGGTGCTTAGCTTTTGATTTGTTGCTGTGTGTGTCTTTTTTCTTTGTTGTTTGTTGCGAGGTTCTGACTGACCAGCTGGAGTTCTTGACACCCGGACAGTATCAGAAGCGGCTGAATGCGAACGACGCAGTACGAGGGGTTGAGCTGCAGGTGGAAGTCAAACAGCTCCCAGTCGATCATTAAGCTTGAGTTGAATGTGGGAAGTTTTGATCTTTGAGTCTTTGAACTTTTTGTTTGATAGTTCAGTTCAGGATTCACTTCACGAATTCGGGGATGGACAGTTATATAAGTATGGGAAATGACTTGCCACGTTGCCAGCCTGAGG